AGTTGGGTGGTGTCATCCAGGCAGTGCGGGGGTAAGGCGGTGAGCTGGTTCATGCTCAAAACCAGCTCAGAGAGGGCCGGGAGATTGTCCAGTAAGCCGGGGGGCAAGGTGGTGAGCTGGTTGCTTTGCAAGCGCAGTGTTTGCAGCCGGGTGAGGCCGCGCAGGGCATCAGCGTCCATGCGGGTGATGGCGTTGGATCCAAGGTCAATGATTGTGAGGGTGGTCGGGGGTCCAAGGGGGCCAAAGACAGCGGTGCGCCAACGATCAAGGCGGTTGTGGGCAAGGCCTAAGGAGACGAGGCCAGGGAGATGGGCAAGAGCACCGTCGGGAAGAGAGGCCAGCAGATTTTTGCCAAGGGAGAGGATGCGAAGGTTTGACAGTGTGCCGAGGCCATGGGCAGGAAGGGCGGTCAGGCGGTTGCCGTAGAGGTTGAGAAACTCGAGGTTGGTACAGGCGGCGAGGGCTTGGCCAGGGATGGCAGAGATGGCATTGGCGCTGAGTTCGAGAAGGATGAGGGCGGAGAGGTGAGCAAGGGCGGTGGGATCAAAGCGAGTGAGAACATTATTGTTGAGGAAGAGGTAGCGGAGGTTGGAGAGGTGGCTATAAGGGCCGGGTTCAAGGCGGCGGAGATTGTTGTCGGCCAGGTCCAGGGTTAGGAGGTTGGGAAAGCAGGAGGGGTCGAGCTCGAGGGTGGTAAGGGTGGTGAGTTGATTGTTGGTGAGGTAAAGGGTATGGAGGGTTGGAAAGGCGGTGTGACTGGGCACGATGAAGTTGGAGAGCTGGCAGGCCGTGAGGTCAAGGTGAGTGAGGGACTGGTTGGCGCCGGCTTGGGCGAGGGCGGAGAGGATGTTCGAGGCGGTGGGATCGAGGGTGGCGAGGGGGTTGTTTGAAACGTTGAGTACGGACAGCTGGGGGAGCTGAGTCAAGATGCGGGGGAGATCGGTTTTAGGGGGCAGGGAGAGGTTGAGGTATTGGAGGGTGGGGATGGCCAGGTGGGCCGGGTCCAAGTTGACATCGAGGAGCTCCAAGGCAAGGAGCTGGGTGGGGTTTGGGAGGGCCAAGGTGGACACGTGCACGGTGTGAAGGCGGAGGGATCGGAGGGCGGGGTAGTTGGTGAGGTTCAAGGGGAAAGAAGGGCGGAGGGGGAGGGTGGTGCCGGAGACGAGGAGGAATTGCAAGTGGGACGTGAGTTCGGGGTCGGTGGCCCAGGCCTGAAGGAGGAGGGGTGCATCGGGGGTGGCCAGCAGCCAGGCGGAGGCATTGTGTTGAATGAGTTTGGCTCGGACGTCAGCAAGGCACAGGGGGTTGGTGGTTGCCGAGGGGTTGACATCGGGGGCATTGGGTAGGAATTGAGCGACGATGGCAGTGGGGGCAAGGGTGGTGCGCTTGAGGAGGGGCTGGAGGGCGGCCGGATCATTGTTGATCAAGAGGGTGTCCAGAGAGACAAAGTTGAGGGTTGGCAAACGACACGCGGGGGGCTCGGCGGTGCTTGATGTGGTGGGGAGAGGACCATCTCGGCGAAGGCGGGGTATTTGTGGCGCAGCGTGTACAGGGGCAGCGCGGGGTACAGGGGTGGGTGACTCTGGGGTTGGGCAGAGGCCATCCAAGAGCGCCCAGCAGGCGGCATCCCGATCAGCGGGCTGAGCGAGGCGGATATCATGGGCTGCGCTGCACGTGGCAGCCAGCTCGAGCGCTGGCCGGGGCGGGATGATCAAGAACACCAGAAGAAGAAGAAGGGGGCGGATGATATGGCGTTGGGAGGCAAAGGTCAAAGGCAAGGGTTGACAGCGATGGGGCCTGCTCTGGGGTGGGGGCGGCTTTGCCATCTTGCTACTCGGATGACCGTTGGACCCATTCCATTCACGCGCGCAAGATGTTCCACCCAGGAGGGTGTTTGAGGATTGTGGCTGTCGAGTTAAGGGATTTTTTTAAAAAAAAGCCACCAAGCGGGCCGGCAGAGTAGGCGAGCAAAGCAGCACCAAACCCCGCGTCTGCTGTCTGCTGTGCGCCCTATGCCACCGCCACAGTCACTGCCCAAGCCACACAAATGCAAATGAGGATGAGGAATGGTTACGATGAAGATCAACATACACGCTCGATCCAGTGAATGCCTTGACCTCCCTATCCTCCCCGATCACTGCCAGACTGCCAGACTACCCCCCTCAGCACGCACATCCTAGATCACTGCCAGACTGCCAGACAAACCCCATCAGCACGCACATCCCCGATCACTGCCATACTACCTCCATCAGCACGCACATCCATCATTATCTTCATCATCATCATCATCATCATGTGCTCCCATGCGGGCGTGCGGGCGGGCGGGTGCGCTGCCATTTGGCGCGATGGACGTGACGTACGTGATGTTGGGCTGGCTGGCTTGAAAATGATGACAATCGCGATGAGGATAGAGGGTGAAACTTGTAACGACAAGAAGAGAGAGAGAGAGAGAGTTTGAGAGAGAAAGAGAGTACAAGGGTAAATTACCACATGTACATGAAGATCAAAGGGGATTCTCTTGTAGGGTTCTCATCAGGACGAAGAGAGGCAAAGAGAGAGAGAGAGAGAGAGAGAGAGAGAGAGAACACATCGAGAAGTTTAAGAGGTGAATAGAGATATGGTTGAAGAGAGATGTAATATCGCTTGGATAATAAAGGGTTTCAGAGGGAGAGAGGGATAGAGCAGAGAGATCAGAGGGATGTGGAGGATCGGAAGGACTCATGTGAGCGCTAACATGACGGGTTGTTTGCTTGCAGGCTCTTGACCCCATTTCCCCGCCCCCGCCCCCCTCTTGGGTCGCGCCCCGCTCATTCACGGCTCGTTGACGGCGCATTCACGGCTCATTCACGGCTCATTCACGGCTCATTCACGGCTCAATCACGGCCCAATCACGGCCCAATCACGGCTCATTCACGGCCCAATCGCGGTCTAATTACGGCCTAATCCCGGCTCGTACCCTGTTGTGGATCCCCCCTCTCCTTGGCTCTTGGACGAGGCACGCCAGCCAAAGAGATGATGGGGTTGGGCCCCATGTTAGGGCAGGTGCTGCTGGTGGGGTTGATCATCGTCGTTCAGCTCGTGCTGCCCGGGTCGAGCCAAGCACGCGTACCCGGGCTACGCGTGGACTTGGATGGTCATTTGCACATTGGGGATGGCGGCGATGCCGCAGCCGGGCAAAAGGTCTTCTTGACTGGTGTTGATGTGTTGGCCGAGTTGGACACGCTGCGCGCAGCCGTGGCCGAACAGGCCGCCACCGTCGATTCAAACACGGCCCAGCTCATTGGCCTGCAGCGCGCCTGGGTCAACCGCATTAGCTTAGGCCTCAACATCACCACCGCCGCCTCCCCCCAGACCCAATGGGGCCGTGCCCTGGCCGTTCACAACAACCTCCTGTTTGTCGGCGCTCCCCAAGCTACTGGCCAAGACAACTCCGTGGGCATGGTCTATGTTTTGCAACACTTTGCGGAGACGGATCAATACTCCTCCTTCTTAAAAGTCTTTCCAAACCTCGACCACCAACATGACGCTGATGATGATGATGCTGACGACGATGACGTCTATTTTACAGACTGGCAGTTTGGGTGCGCCCTGGCCGTCAATGACACCACCCTCTTTGTCGGGGCCTTCAAGGAACCCTCGGTCGCCCTCAACGCCGGCGCCGTCTTGATCTATTCCTGGTCCACGACCAACAAGGCCTATGAGTATGCAAACCGCCTGCTTTTTCCAGGTAGCCAGACGGGCGATTGGTTTGGTCGGGCCCTCGCGCTTCAGGACAACGAACTCTTTGTCGGCGCGAGCGGCGACGACTCCGACGGTGTCAACGATGCCGGCGCCGTTTATCTGTACCAGCGTTCATCCGCCGACAACCTCATCCTCATTGACACCATCTTCGCCCCCGATAAGACGGCTGGCGCCAACTTTGGCACCGCCGTGGGCATTAGCGGCGCCGATCTGGCCGTCGGCGCCCCCAACGCCACCCACGACCGCTTTGTCATGGGCGCGGTGTACATCATGACCCGCACCACGACTGACGGCTCCTACACCATGCGCACCAAGCTCCTCCCCAACATGCTGCCCGGTGCTAGTGTTGGCATGCAATTTGGTCAAAGCCTGGCCTTTAGTGGCGACCTCCTTGCCGTCGGTGCTCCTCTCACCGACGTCCGCGGGCCCAACTCGGGTTCCATCTACCTCTTTTATCGAGATACCGCCCAGGTCTTTCAGCTCGAGCGCGTCATTCACGGCCTCGCCGGCGCTGGCTATGGCTTGGCCCTGGACCCCGGCTTGGCGCTCTTTGTGACTCAGCGCGATCTGGCCGTTGTCCGCCGCATGGCATAATCCGCCTTTCATGTTAACTGCGTGCGCATTGTGCCGGGCAATTCCGCCTCTGTTCCATGCCCTCTGCATTCCAGCCCATCGTAACATTGTATTCTGCCGTTTACCCTTCCCTCGACCCTCAGCCCTCGACCCATCGTGAGTTCGTCGTTGGCTCTTGCACACCACACGTCTTGAGTTTGACAAAGGCGCTTTCCATTATGAATTGACATGTGACTTGCCTCGAGTCGACTTGGGACACAATCAGAACCTGGCGTGTCTCCCAGAACACACAACATGAAACGAACAAATCTCATCACGCAGCCTTCCCATCCCTGGTGCTGCTCCACGCTCACTTTCGCGACGACGGCTCCGAGGACCAGCGAAGCAGCGTGCGCTTCACCGAGACAGAGCGCCGCACGCGTAGAGGGGGCGGTGCAGTTTGCTGCTGAGACGCGCCCTGGCCCATTTGCGGGGCCCCAAATGCACTTGTTTGAAGCGTGGCCAGCGCTTTGCGCAGCTGGTCCGCAGCCAACAAGAGGCGCTTGCGATGTCCAGGCAAGGTGACACCAATGAAATTCAGGTCCTAGCACCGACGAGAGTAAGAGAGTGAGCCAATGCACCACTTGCAACCAACGCACATGCCAAACTAGGTGAACGCAGGGCGCTGCGCACCTCGTCGTTGAGGCGAGCAATCACATCCAGATCGTCGTAGCCCGTGACAGTCATGACATTATAATAATGGTCCATCCTGATCTTGTGCAGCCACGACTGCACTGCCTTGAGAGGCTCCTCCTGATGATGAAAATGAGGAGGAGGATGATAATGAGGAGGAGGATGATGATGGGGAGGAGGATGATGAGGAGGGAAAGCGGATGGCACATGCACAAAGAGGTCCAGCCAACAAACAAATAAGAGTGTGGCAGCATGTAGGTATCACCAAGTTCGTGCTTGCCCAGGTTCGTGCGCGCGCGCTGTACCGACCTGAAGAAACTTCCAATCGTTACGATAAAGAGCATCTGCTTCGGGAACCAGGTCCAAATGGGGCGTGTGTTCAGTGTCACCACTCTGCTGGTCGTCCATTTCTGTGGGAACCGTTGAGCCTTGATCTCCTGCTTCCACGGCACTGTTGTTACCTGAAGTCGGACCATCGGCCTTGAAGGCGCTTGGTTCCTCTTTAATTGCCATGGCCCGGGCCGAGGCCTTGTGCAGGGACGGCGACTCGGACACCCCCGTGCTGAGTTCCCGCTGAAGAAGCTCAAGGTTGGGAGGATTGGAATCTGTAGAGGACCAGTCAATGTTCAGGAGATTTAGCCACGATTGAGAGTGAGAGAGCCGCGAAAGAGAATGATGGGGAGTGGAGACAGGCCGGCAGAAAAAAATGAGCAAACGCACGGCTTTGCGAGTGCTCGCGCAAGCGCTGCTGCAGCTTCAGATTGGCCTTGGCCGTGACTGCCTACACCGACGTAAAGACAGGCAGCCATGAATACTTTTGCAACGAGGTGTTGAGCGAGTTGGGCTGCAACGAGAAAAAAACAAAAACAAAAACAAACAAACAAAAAAACAGAGCATGGACATACGGTTTGATTCGGAGTGAGGATACGGGCAGAGCTCATGCCCTCGATCATCTCCTTGATGATGCGATAATGTGTTTTACCGTGGATCTGAATGCGACCCGAATGCAACAACACAAAGGAGAAGAATGCATGAGAGTGCATGGGTGCGGCAGTGGACATAGAGCTCCACTTGGTGTTCAGCAGCAGAGGGAGGGACACGATAGAATGACCAAGAGCCCAAGCAAACTCTGACGAACAGGGAGAATGTGAATGCTAAGATCTTCACTGGGCTGGCTGGACTCGCCCTCGTTCGACTCTTGTGATGAAGCAAGCGCCATGTTGTCGCCACTACGTCGCGTGCGTTTGCTCTGTAAAGGTTCATGTACAAACGAGAAAATTGAGGTGCCATGGTACGCACGCAGCGCAGTAGCCATGTCCGAAAAAAGAAAAAAAGAAAAAAAAGCGAAATAAATTACCTTGGTTCCACTGGCAGCCGGGTGACGCTTGGCACTGTTGCGTTGTTGGCGCTTCTCAGCAGAGAGCCGGTCCCGACCCGGGCAGGCGCAGCAGCGGCAGTCCACGCTGGTGATGCCAAGAATGTGTTCGCTGTGCTCGAGGTAGACCATGAGCTGCATCATGCGACGAGCGATGGAGCCGGGGCAAGAGCTGAAACAGTGAAAGCGCAAGGGCACAGAGTAGACGTTGTCAGTAAAGGGGAACTGGTCCAAGGCCACCCGAGCGTAGTGGTGACCCGTCGAATCGGTGTCGTAGGTCACGTGTTCACGATTGATGGACATGAGGTGGTTGTGGGGCGCGCCGAAGAAATGCGAGCCGGCCTGCTGATGGGTCACACATGTCTCGACGCGCGTCTATCATGACACCACGCATTGGCGACCGGCACGCGCTGAGCTTTGGTTGGTGGCCGTCAAAAGGTCAGGGCTCGGCTATTTCACAAACCTTGCGATGCTCAGGTAGAGCGTAGCGGAGACGAAAGACAAGATCCGTGCCCTTGGGCGGGGCTCCTGTCAAGTGGCACCCGCGCCGGTCATTCAAGCGCGGGGCACATAACGCCGGGGGGCAGGGGCCGCGACAGAGAACGTACGAGCCAATACAATTTTGAGGACGACATCAGCATTGACGTGAACGAAGAAGCGGCCGAGCTGTGGCGAGTACTGGATCATGAGCAAGACGTCGAAGTGGGGCCAGCGACATGGTACATGCAGTGAGTTTGAGCTTATGGGAATTGGGGCCGAGCCGTTTTGCAGCAGGGTAAGATCAAGGCCAGGAGTGCTTACGGTCCAGGGAGAAGTGTTGCGGGGTTTGAGGCTGTTCTCGTCGATCAAATCCAACTGCAGGTCGTACGGTCCGCGAAAACTGATGGCGCATCCGACGATGGCGATCCGACGGGGAAGCCCCCCCAGAAAAAACAAAACACACACCCACCCACACAAGAATCAAGAACCAGGTGCGTGAGCGTTAAGACTCAATGAAGTCCGCGCAAAAAACACACGCAAAAAAACAACAACACCCCAAAAGGCCTCGCAGACCTGGAGGGCAGCATTTCAAAGTCGCGCTCTGTCATCGGGGCTCGCTTCACTGCTGTGGTGCCGTAGCCTGGGATGTCGACCATGAGATCCGAGTCGCTGTGCTGCAGGGTAATGGTTTCCACCGCCACCTGGAATTGGCCGGGACCCCTCTCATTACCGTCGGCGACGCTCCCAGGCACTACCGACGTCATGATGCTCTACACATGCGGCAAATTGGGAACAACCCAAGTCAAGTCAGTCGATACATCAAGAAAAGAGAGAAGAGGAGAGAGGATTGGAGTGGCCCAATCAATCATGGTAAGAGCATTCATGTTCGTCGCCTGTCAAGCACACGGGGAGGCAGGGAAGAACAAGAGGGGGAAACCGACTACTGCTGCTGCTGCTGCTGCTGCTGCTGCTGCTGCTGCTGCTGCTGCTGCTGCTCACCTCGCCATCGACGACATCGTCAAAGAGGCTCATCTCCATGTTGAGCCGATCGGCGCCGAGCAGCTCGAGTTTCTGATCGCTTCCGAAACAAAAAGAAGCAAACGCCACTGCATTCACCAACTCCACTGCTTCTTCGAGTCTTGTTTTCCAGTCAGGTCCCACAAGATGCCTCCGTCCATGCAACGTCGACGCGACGGGGAAAAGTGCGAAGTGCGAGCACAACCCAGATGCCGCTGCCAAAATTTCAACGCTCAACAAGTATAAAACCCGAGCCAAGAAAAAAAATGCCAAAGCGGTTCACGTCTCTGGTTCTCCTTGGGAATCCCCCTTTAAACGTGGAGAGTTGAACCGATAGATCGCGTTGTCTCTGCACACACTCACAACGGTCCACAACTGTCAAGACCACACACAGCTTAAAATATAACAAAACGTGTTCAAACGTGTTTTTTTCGAGTTTTCTATACCATCTCACTTCCTTCGCCCACTGCCACGCATAATAAAATCTCTCACTGCATTCGTGAGTGATACATAAAAGTGTGATATTTGTTACAGTATCGCATAGAGGGCAAGATGGCCGTGGTGGAGCCGCAACTGCCCGAGCTGTCGGTGCGGGAGCAGGACTGTCTGGCGGAGCTGCAGCGGACGTATGGGCGGGAGCATACGCAGTTTGAGCTGGTGAAGTTTGTGATTGCGCTCAAGGGTGATTATGATCGCTGCGTTGAGCGGTTGCACAACTATCGGCGTGAGTTGTTGCCTCGCTTTCGGCCCGAGGCCGTGCGCGCACGCCACGTTCGCAGTTTGCTGCAGCGACAGGTCTTACAGCTGCCCGGCTCGCGGGACCGGGATGGGGCCACGGTGATTGTATACAATGCCCATCGGCACGTCAAGACCACCTCGGACGAGCAGCGTGAGGAGGCCCTCAAGGCCGTCATCTACCTCATTGAGCTGGCCACCTACCAACAGGGCACCCTCCGCAACGGCATTGCCCTGGTCGCCAACCTGACATCGGTGGGCATGAGTCAGCTGGATGGCCCCATGCATCAATTTGTCCTCTCTGTGCTGCAAAACGCCTATCCTGCGCGTCTCAAGCACGTCTACGTCATCAATCCCAACCTCTGGGTGCACGCCCTCATCACCGTCTCTCGTCCCTTTATGAAGCGCAAGCTGGCCGAGCGTGTGGTAGTCGTCCCCTCCTACGACCGTCTACAGGAGCACATTCACCCAGATGAGCTCATCACCCAGTTTGGTGGCCGACGTACTTTTGACCCGGTTGCTTGGCTCGAGAGCATCACCGTACGTCGCAACCGTGTTCACCAACTGCCAAGCGCTCCACTGTAACCGTGGCTCATGTCCCTTCTCATGGCAATTTTGCACACACACACACACACACACACACACACACACACACACACACACACACACACACACAACACACACACACACACACACACACACACACACACACACACACACACACACACACACACACACACACACACACACACACACACACAGGCCGAAGAAGAGCAGCCCATCCCCGAGCTGACCCGAGACGAAGAACGGCGCGAGCGGCAACAGCGCAATACCAGCAGGTTGGGCTCCTTTGCATGATCAAATTCGTCCGCAATTCACATCCCTTACGATCCACTCACCCTGTTGCTCAATTGGGATTGGCAGTCACGTCGCAGTGACATCTCCGGCTGACTTGGTTGCTCCCCTGGCTGAGCTTGACATGTCCATTTCTGATGCCCCGGCTCCTGCCTCCGAGTCAACCACCGCCTCGCATCGCGTTGCGCAGCCAGCCGACGTGGAGCTCGATCTAGCGGTGGAGGAAGCGCCACCAAGCTAAGCCCGATTATGCGTGTATATGTGTATGCGTGTGTCCTGTCACTGCGCAATCACATGTGTGGTGGTCAAGGTGAGGCTGTACAAGTCGCGGCCGTGCCGCTCGCTGCCCACCCGAGGACCGTTTATTTTTGTGGTGGCCGTGGCTGATATCCACGGACCTGTCTTCTCAGTTCATCTACATGTAAAATTTTTTTTTTGTTTGTCATGCCAATGCCAGAGCTTGCAACTCCGCTTCTTGACACGTGCGAGGGTTGCTTCAAACGACCAGCGCACCCTCAACTTGCCCCACTTCATTGACGACAGCTGGGTGTGCGCATGCTCGACGAATCACAGTCAGGTTGAATTGAGGAGAAGGAAAAAAAGAAAAAAAAAAAGAAAAAAAGAAAATGCCAAAAGGAGGAAAGGAAAAAAATACAAACTCAAAAAATAAACAATTCATGGTTCCAAGATGAATGAACTGCACGTCACAACCACTCAACAATCAACTCCCGAAAGCCAAGTGGGTGGGCAGAAGGGGACGGCCTCACCACCGAGCCACTGCCCAACCTCCACATCTTGGCAGGGATAAGGGCGTGCGAGTCTGGCTAGAAATTGGTCATCGTCGTCTCTTTTGGCGATTGATGATGCGATCCGCTTGTGCTCGGCGCACGGGCTATTCAATGGTACACGTGAACAAGCAAGCGGAATGAGGCTGCAAAACAAGATGGCGGGCGAAATGGTCAAGCTGAACGCACCTGGTGCAAGAGGCCCGGGGTATCCTCTGGCTTGGGTGAGGCTGGTTGGAGGAGCGGCGGCTCGTCGAAATCATCGTCTGCGTCACTCGAGGGGAGACGAGCACGACGGCGGGCCGGGGCCTGCGGCGTTGCAAAGGTGGGAACATCGGCCGTGTTCAGGCGTCCCCGACGTCGCACTGGTTCATCGGCGAGCGCATCATCTTCATAGTCCTGGTTGCGCAGTGCCGCTGCAGCCCGCACATGCTCGCGTCGCTTGAGCGTGTTGGGTTTGGATCCCAGCAACCCTTGCATCACCTCAGTCTTATCAATGGGCTCCTTAGGCACTTCCACCCGCAGGGCATGGCTTGCGTCCTCCTCGCCCTTGACGGCCAGATGATGCGCACAACACTCCCGAGCGCTTCGCGTCCCCACTCGCTGAGCCACAAATGTCCATAAATCTATACACAAACGCCACCGTGCCACACGCCGGAGAGCCACAAGATGCCAGTACCTTAAGATCCACAATAAAGACTGTTCGTTCAGATTTTATCAGGAACAGGCGACGACGAGCGTACCTGGCTTACGGGAGGCGCCTGGCCGTGTGTTCAAACGCTGATGCTCGCGCATTGCCCGGCGAAGCGCAGCTTCTTCTTTTTGAGTCCAAACGTCACTCTCCTCCTCTTCTGATGGCTGAGTAGTGTCCTCCACGCGCGCAGCTTGCGCACGCGTGGCGGCCACCGCCCGAGCCCGAGCCAGAACCTCTTTGCGCTTGAGACGCGTGGATCTTCGTGTGTGTTGAGCCGTCTGATCCTCCGGCACGGCTTCGGACTCATCTTCCGACGCGCCGTCTTCAACGCGCGACCCCAACTCGGGCAGATCCACACCACTGACACGCGTGCTCTCGCTGTGTTCAGACATTGCAGCAACGGGTGGTGGCTCATCGTCGGCGAGACTGGGTGAGGGTGGCGACTCCAACTTTGGTGCCTTGGCTCGAGCCACAGGCGGGCTTGCTTGCAAACGCTTGCCCTTTGAACCGGTGGACGCTTCTGGGGCAGGGGAGTCAGCGTCACCCAGGAGAGAGTCAAGCAGGACGTCATCCTGCTGATCAGCATTCTTATGGCGCGCCGCCTTGGCTGCTCCCACCAAGCCGAGTTCGGAGAGTGCACGCTTATTGGCAGCAATGTTCTTCTCTCGCGCAGCTTCGTACTCAGAAATGCCAGAGTCGGCTTTGCGATTCCGCTTAGTCTTATTCGAGCCCGACTCGGCAAGCTTGGATCTTGGTGCTTTGAGTTTGGGGGAAGTGCCCAATGCCTCAGCAGCCAACCGCCGCTGCTCGCTTTTTTGAGCTTGTTCGTCACGCTTGCGCAGCTAGTTTGGGCGCATGTCGGCTGACATGAGAATCACCTTGCCATGGTGCGAGCCCGAGTTGACCGACGTTTTGGCACTTGAATTGCACCCCAAGCCCAACTTACTTCAGCAAAATGACGAACGGCCTCTTGAGTTTGTAATAAAATGTCCTCTTCCTAAAACGGGAACAGACACACGCAGAGGTCAAAGTTAACATGCAGCCTTTTGATAGCTTGAGGTCAAAGCGTGTCCCGCGCAGATCAGCGCCACTACCTCGTCATCACCGCGCGGGGGTGTTTCAGCCACCACGTCTCGTGGAATATGTGCTCGAATAATGCCTTTGACAGAATCGGAGACCACCCGCTATTGATGGGACAGATGCAAGCAGTGAGAACGGGCTTGACGCTTGCCAACGAGACCGTATTCACGCAACTGGTTGCCCGCGCGCCCATAGATTGGTGGTACACGTATGGAATCGGCCAAATACCAAGGCAAACACACCTCCGAAGCCCAATAATTGAGTGGCTTGAAGCGAATGCGCCCGCTGCGCCGCGAGGTGCTAATGGCCAGCTCATCGCGCGCTTCTTGCGCTGGCGTTGAAGGCGTATTCCGTGCTGACCGGTTTGTAGAAGATGCAGATTGATGTGTGCGAGCGTCGCGAGTGGGCGTTTCAGGAGTGGCAGGTGTCTTGGAGCTGGCGGTCTTGGCCTTGGTGACAGAGGCACTGGACCTGCGAGGAGCGGCAGCACTGGCTTTTGTCGATTTTGCGGGGCTTTTTGGCGTTTTGGTCGGTGGAGGCTGCTTTGCGCCCTTGGTTTTGGTGTCAGGCTTGGGCTTGGCTGTAGTTGCAGCAGTCTGATCCAAGAGGCGGCGTCGGTGGGCTTCTACCCGCGCCTGGGCAATGGAGTCATCACACACGGTGCGCCAATTGCTGGGAAAGCCGCCCTTGCCATTGTTGCAGCGGGCAAAAGCATCGATTAAGCGGTCGTCCACACCCGCTTGGCGACACTCTTCCTCAACAAAGTTGCCGGTTAGCTTATATTGGCTGCCCGACTTGCTCATGACAAGCCGAGACTCCACACGCTTGACAATGATCGTGGTTCGCATCATGGTCGAGGAGGTGCCTGGCCCGAGTTGCTGTCGGGTTGTATCGGGAATGTAGCCACGAATTCGCACACCGCTGGAAGAGAAGAACACCCACCAATCCAAGAGTGCCGTAACTTTGACTGCTGACTTTTTGCTGGGCGGGGCGGTCGATGATGCCTTGGCTCGACTTTTCTTGGCACTGGACGAGGAGGTCGACTTGCGCGGCGCATGTTCCACGATCGTTGTATCAGCCAGGTTGTCCGCACTACTGGACCGATGGCGGTTCCGTCGCCCATGGCCGTCTTCTGCCTCGTCCTCGTCCTCGTCCTCGTCTGCATGGGGTTGTTTCGATTTTTCATCCTCGTTGTCGCCCGAATCGTCATCACTCTGCAAGAGCGCTCCGTGCCGCTTTTTGGATCGCCGGGAGTGTCCAATGAGGTCATCGCTCTGGTCAGAGTCGTCGTGTGCATCGTCTGGAGAACCTTGATCGTCGGAATTCATCCCATCTGGCGATGGCTCGTCATTGGCAATGGGTGACAAGGCAGGTGATGGCAGATCATGGCCTATGCACGCGCGCCCAGGCCCGGGCCGATATCAGAGACACACGAAATGTGCACCAAGGCAAGCCACACATGGAGGGGGTTATGCAGCGGTTGAACTCGGCTTTTGCACGCACCGTCAAGAGAGCTAATTTGCAGCTCGTCACGGTCGCTGTTGGTTGCTGGCGCAGGGGTGGGCGGGAGCTGACGGGTGAGTGCCCCAACTCCCGGGGAGGACGAGTTGAGGACGTCCCGGCTTTCGTTGGCAAGCAGGGAGCCAGGTCGTCCTTCTGCAAGCGGCATGTCAAAGAAGCGAGTTGAAAGCAAAGCGAAGGGGCAGCGCCATTACTGTGAGGAGTATGCTTTGCTGCACGTGATGCACAGGTGTTGGAGACGCGCTGAGTTGTGTTGGCGGTGCATCAAGCTGCGGTGAAGCATGACAGACAACAAGCGCATGGGACACCGGGCGTTGGTGGGCTGCGTACGAATAAGACGGGGTCGGAGCAGAGGTCCGGGGCTTCGCCAGACACCGTGAGTATTTGGTGATGCTTGGGCCTGTGCGGAGCAGCGGGGCGCGACAAGAATAGGGTTGGCAATGCAGCAAGACAAAGTGCGAATGGGTGTTAGAACAAGGCAGGGGCGCTCAACAGGGCGGGGCAAGGGGCCAGGAATTGCATACACAGACCGAAGATGATTGGAGGGGTTGTCGAACAATATGCGGCGTGATGGGAGCACGAAAGCCATCCCGGTGGGACGCCGATGGGGTCGTGGGGACTAGTTTCTGACCCGAGGGTGGCGGGTGGGCTTGTTCAGCAGGATGGCTTCGGCTTGGCGTGCTGTTGCCATTGGACTCATGGTGATGATGCAGAGGGCTGGCGACTGGAGCGGGGTTGCCCGGGGCACGACCTCGAGCGTGCAGGGGCACGGGGGACCTGAGCGCGGCTGGATTGCGGACCCGAAAGATTGCGCCCGAATGCAATGGGTCAACCGGCATGACGACGGCGGGCACGGGGGCAGCGCCCTGGGCCAGTTCAACAGCACTCTCTGCAGCGGTCGCACCAAATGCTCGCCGCCGGCACCTATCAATGCGTCTTGCTTCTTCTGCTGAGCCCCCAGTGTTGCTGCGCTCGGATGATCCGCGGCAGGGCCACTCGATCAATCAATCAAGGGGAAAACACCTGCCACCGCTGCCCGCAGCTATGGGGGCTCCAAGACCACTTGCCCTCGTCTCCCTCCGCATCAAGAGCAAGCCTCTTGCCTGCACTGAGTAGCAGGACCACCTGCCGAGCACCGAGCGAGAGAGAGAGAGAGTGTGTGTGTGTGTGTGTGCGCGGCAAAGAGAAAATAAAAGTTTTCAAGCAGCAAAAGCGTGTGTGTGAATTTTCGAGAGAGAGAGAGAGTTTCAGAGAGAGAGAAAGCTCAGAGAGAGTAAGTTTCAGAGAGAGGTCAGAGAGAGAGAGAGAGCTTCAGAGAGAGAGAGAGAGAGAGAGAGCTTCAGAGAGAGAGAGAGAGAGAGAGAGAGAGCTTCAGAGAAGAGAGAGGGAGAGAGAGAGAGAGACTGCTTCAAAACTTCAGAGAGAGAGAAAATTCGAGTGAGAACGGAACGGCCGTTATGATGATTTTTGGGTGAGTATATTTTGAAGAAATAAAGGGCATTCTTTAAAATGAAAAGGGTTCATAATAATTCGTTCGATTGGACTTTTGCGGGACGATCAGCAGCTGGTCAAGACCTCCTCTGCCTTTGCCTTTGCCTTTGCCTTTGCGTTCCTGTCAGAGGGTGTGATCGAGGGCCCTGGGGTCTGTGCTTCGCAAGCTGCCTTAGATCAGGTCTCTCAGTTCATGTATCGACGGCAGTTGGCTGCACCGCAGTGACAAGGGATCTTGGAATCCTCCAATGGAAACTACAAAAAACCGACAGGGCCGGGCGGGGGTGAGGGCGCTGTGACGGTAGGACCAGGCTCCCGTGGCATCAAAAAAGCAAGCATCGTCTTGAATGACCATGCATGCTCGAGCTCAACTCAAAGGCCCAAAGATGGTTCATACCTTGTAGTCGTAGGTCAGCTCCTCGCCCACCGCAATGTTTCGCTCAGCGAAGATTACAATGTGCTTGCCCACATCTGTTTGGATGATCCGCGAAGCGCAATTGGGATCACACGAGTGGTTCACAAAGCGCGCCGGATTGCCCGTCAGGGTAGCATCCACTACCAGGTTTGCATCAACTCGAAACATGTAGCAGCCGATTCCGCGCGAGTCGTAGTACGCTTCACGCTTGTCCGTCAGTTCGGGACGGATTTGCTCGCCCGCATACTCGATGATCATCTCGCCTGGCTTGAGTGGTCGCAAAGCAAACAACCCGATACCGTGGATCTTTGAATGACTCACGCGCACCGTGGTAGCCAGCATTTGCTTTGAGAGGCGAAAGAGCGTCTTGTCGTTCATTTCCGTTGACACGGAGGAGACCTGTAACGCAACGCATGTTCAATCCATGTAGATGTGCGTGCATGCGTCAGTGCGCGAAAAAAAAGCAGAGGAAGAGAGAGAAGAAGAAGGAGAAAAAAAGAAAAAGAAAAAGAAGAAGAAGAAGAAGACGAAGAGAAAGAGGAAGAAGGAGACGAAGAGAAAGAGGAAGAAGAAAGGAACAACAAGATGCCATACCTTGCGATCGTGACGGGCATCCCCATCCGTGCTTTCGGCCCCGGCACGAGGCAGCGACGACCGCGCGAGCTTGCGGGCTGCTTGCAAGTCGTGCGCCTCACACCGTGCGGCTCCTGACGGATTGGTCGGCAAGATCCGAGGTTCCACATCTGGTGGCCTTGAAAACCGCCGCGAGTATCCGGTGCACCGATCAACGTTTGGCAAGAGCTCCAAGACACGCTGCACCGCCGGAAAGTCAAGCCCAAAAGCATGCAAACCGCTCATCACGCGCACGCGGGCTTTCGCCTGCCGGACCGGTGCCTCCATATCTTGTAGCACGTGCCGCAGCTGCCTCGTCAGGAACTTTAGGTGTCGACTCCGTAGAAAACTACCGACGGCCGTTTTGACTGGTGCCCAAGCATGGGCCGCCGTAAGCCCCGCAAATACGCGACAGCCACACCGCAGAGTCACCTGACAAAATGTGGGTGGCGTGCTATCCTGAGTTTGAGGCTCCGCCTCGTCTTGGCACGCGTCGTGGCTTGCGGCCGTGCCGTGTGCCATTTCAGGTTTGCCATCTGCCGAATCACTTGCTGTTGTTGCTGTTGTTGCTGTCGCAGCGCAGCTGCTTGTGTCAGTCGGACCTTGCAGCAACGAATCTCCCATTGACTGAAGCACGACTTGCCAAGTTGAAGACATGTTTGCGCGGTCGTGCACAACTGCGATGCAGTCCCCGCGTCCACAGCTTCGACGAACAAAATACACGGGCGTACCCATTGGAGCTTCATCGGGATCCTCCGGTGCTGGGTCATCCGTTCGTCGGCAAGCCCAGACACGCATGTAATATGATGTCAGGTTCAGCTGCGGTCGCATCACAGTCGGAATGGCCACCGGTGAGACTGGGCGACAACACAATCAGGCAGCAGCCCGAGCCAAAGCAGTTCTACGTCCTCTCCCTCCTCTCCTGGCCTTCCTCAACCCAATTCAGCTCCAAGAAATTAAACGTACGCGGTTGTTTAACACGTCATTGATGTCCCAAAACCGGCGACACGCCAAATAGTTGTTAGGCAGGAGCAGCTTGTCCGAGTACAGGCCCTCGCAATGCTCCGCCATGGACCCAGGCCAAAGCAGCTTGAAAGCGCCTGCAACCAAAGAACGGCGCCAAAGGCAAATCAGTCGTCTTCACAGCACGCTAACAACAACCCCACCCCAGTGATCAGTCACTCTGCCTGGATTCATCAACCAACCAATGCAAATTTGGGGCAGGCGAAGTGATTTTTGTGCCGTGGCCTGCAGCTTCTGAAGAAGCTCAGACGGAAAAACAACACGCTTTGGGGGGAAGCGTGCCAGCAGAGCCAGCGCCAGTTGCTGAGGCGACGGCAAGAGTGAAAGTGTGCGATTAACCGCCTCAAGCTGCTCGCCCTCGCCTTCACGGCTGCCGCTTTGGTGTTCAACCACAATATGACGTTCCACGCGAAATTTGCCCGGTGTGAGTGCCGTAGCCGATGGTTGTAGCTTCTCTTGCCTGCATCCGTACTCGCGGTGCTGATCGCAGTACATCTGTACCACAAGACAGTTCGTGTAACGTCGTCTTTGATGAGCAGGCGCACCATCAAGCCAAGCAGCCGCGGTTGGAGCAGCACGAAAGGAAAGCCTCACATTTTTTTGAGCAAACAGCGCGCCGATGCTGGCCGCACACCCAAAATGGAAACTGCGATTGCAGGCAGGGTGCCGACATCCCAGTGTGGCTCCAGGTGACCCACACATCACGCATTTCTGAGGTCAAATCGAGCAAATGCGTGTGGTCAGGAGAACAACCAACTTTGAGCGCACGCGCATTATAACGTGCATCCAGCAGGAAATTCCAACCAGGCGTGGCCCAGGTTAAACATCAACTCACGATCAAGCGACCACGACGGGTGGCAGCGCGTGCACGGCAAAGGCCATGTGGGCCCTCATACACCTCCGGCGACCACAAAAGACAATTGACGTGAATCCAGGTGCGAGCCTAGATAAGCAAAATGTGAGCTCGACAGGTAAAAATCGACGATGGTCGGACAATCAAGGCGCGCACCTCAGTGGGCAGCAAGCGGCCACCTTCCAGGTCAGGTTGATCCCCAAAGTTACCACACAGCTCACAACAGCGGTCATCAACCACTGTCCGTGAGGTCTTTGGGTGAGTGCGAGGCTGGTTCTCCAGCCCCAAAGTACATGCAGTTCTCGCGCTCTCTGACAGCTCTAAAATGCGGCGTTGCATCTCCTGACGCGCCTCCAACACCTGAGGGTCTATACCCGACACTTTGGCACGTTTTGCACCCGGCTGCCCGGTCCCAGAAACGGAAGTCTTATCATTCTCAAGCTCGTTTTTCTGAGCACTACAACCTTCCGCTGCTTTGCCCGTCGGGTATGCTTGAGGCGTGTGCGCACCCGTTGCTTTGGGTTGGTCTCGCGTCTCAGGCGTTGCCGGCGTCTCAGACACTCTGGCGACGCTCGCAGATGCAATCGAGGCCGTAGATGTCATTGGTACTGAGGGTGTAGTCTGCATGCCAAGCGCGGACGGGGCCGCTTCAAAAGCGTCTGGGCAGGAAGAGCGCGACGATGACGCAAGCGTGGGCGTCCAGACTTGACCGTGGTTTGCCGAGTGCACGAGATTGCCATTGGCCGCTTGAGAGCGCTCAGCCTGGCATCTTACCAAAATCTCTAGGCCTGCTTGTACGTGCTCGGGCTGCAGGCCAAACCCCTGAAGGACCCTTGTAGCATTGCCTTGGTGCCCGGGAGTACAGGTCGTTTGGTATTCATGAAAGAGGGCAAGGACGTGGCGGAACATGTCCACCGACAATGCTGGGTTGACGAAGCGTACATAGTCCAGCAAAGGCTCTTCAATGGCTGATAGCGAGGGCCGTCTAAGAAATGATGGCGGTTTTGCAGTTGGTATGTCTGACGCCAAAGTCGTCTCCGAGGCTGGCTTAGGGGGGGAAGGGATGGGCAGGGTGCTCCGAAACTGCCCGGATAGAGTGGGTACTGGAATGCTGTTCAGGGGTGTTTGGCTTGTCGAGGAAGACGCTGGCTGCAGTTGCTCGGGGCAAGATGGCTGGCCATCCTTGAGCTTGGGCGATTGCAAGGAAGGAATGGGAATGGTTCGTTGTGATGCAGCCTTTACTTGATGCTGCAAATCGATATTCTCACGTGTTGTGGGCGAGGCTGGTGTTGAGGAAGGTGCGTCCTTGGGGCCAAGCCCTTGGGTGGCGCGTGCGGCGGTTGGGGTTGACGTCACAACTGGTGAGTCGGGCCACGGCGAGGTCCGGTCGGATGCTTGATGCGAATGACGCGGCGAAGCCGGTGGGCTTGTTGTCAATGGGGCTGCTGAAATGGTCTTGGCCGTACCTGCCATGGCCGCTAGCACGGATAATTCTTGTCCACGCTCCGGCAAAGGGTCCAAGCTCAAGTCGATGGAGCGACCCAGCTCCGTGTTGAGCACGCCCCAAAAGGACGTGATAGCTCTGCACACGTGAAACCCGAGCCGACCACGTAACCAGTCAAAGCGTAGATTGCTTGGAGTGAGCGGTTTGTTCAAACAGACTTGAACGACTTAAAACGGCAACAAAAACGAAGCAAGGTGATTACGTGGCCTACCGGCAGCGTTTGTCATTGTCGCCAAAAACTAGTTGCATCCCAACAAGGCAGCGAAACAGTTCTGTACCAGATGTGCTCCGTAAGTGCAAGGGGGTAGATCGAGTCTTTGGATAAATCGAATCGTCACACGACACACAAACAAGGCGTACCTCGAATGAACTCCTGCGGAGAAGCGAAGCCCTTTGATTGAACGCGTTCATAAAGAGATTGAAAGTCGGACACGCCATCTGGTAGAAAGTCGGGAAGCTTCCCATTTTCAGCATCCAAAGTCTAAAGATCAAGATCAAAGTGCTTATGAGCAGGCTGAAGATGGTGTGTACGAGGTCTTGCTGTCCGTTCATTCCCTTTGCTAGCCTGTACGTTCTCCGCCACGAAAACAAAACAAAACAAAACAAAGCAAAACAAAACAAAACAAAAACAAAACAAAAACAAAACAAAATAAAGGGTACATAGTCGAGTGCACCCTCCGGTACACTACATGCCGTACCATGCCCTCTGGTAATACTTTAAGCACCCAGGCAGAAGAAGACCGTGTTGCTCGCTCCAATGCTTGGCCCACACGCTCATGCATGACAGAGCCAGCGGCTTCAAACAACTCCTTAACACTGCTGGCATTTGCATCGGAGCGCCTGCCAAAAAGGTGGGATGCAGGCCCGGCACGTCAGACGTCCTGGCCAGGTGGCAAGAAAGAAGATGGCCAGGCAACGCAGGGAAGCAAGACTGAGGCAACGAGGCGACTCACCGGCAGTCGGGACAAAAGTACGACATGCTGCTGGGGACGAAGGTCAGAAGATGGTAGCGAGCCTCATCAATATCATCACATTCAGCATGTAACCATCGGTCACAACGATCACAGCCCACCATCTTCACATCATAATCATCTCCACGGTAGGTCTGAGCGAGGGATAAGAAGCCAAAAAAGTCAAGGCACGCGTATTATTGCTTTGCGGCAGTGTACAAGAGGCAAGGGTAGAAAAAGGTGCCAGTGGGCTCTCAACGCAACCTACCTTGCCGCACACAGGGCAGAAGTTGCCCCGAAGTTTGTTGAGACCGCAGTCAAAGCAGAGACGAAAGTCACATTGCCAAGTTGGCTCCTCTCGCAGTTTGGGATCGGGGCGATGGCCGCGGACATCGGTGGCACCGCAGTGTTCGCACTGTACGCAGTCGGTACAGACCCATCGCTGCGTGGCTAGCATGTAGCTGGGTGTGGCGGCACTGGCACAAGCCGCGTGGCGGTGCACGCCACAAACGTCGCAGCTAAGCAGGTGCTGTGTGGGCTCGATACGGGTGCAAACGTCACACGTTTGACAATTTTTACACTGCCACAGCCGAGCCGAGTAGCTGACAGCCTGAGCCGCCGTCAAATTGGTACAAAACCAGTGGTAAGGCTGGCAGCAGGTTGAGCAGCGCACCATCTGGCATTGCTCTTCAATCGCCGTGTGAGCGCTGGGTTCCGGCTGAGCTTTAGACGGTTGGGTAGTGCTTTGCTCCGTTGTCGCTTGAAGTGGTTCAACACTAGCGTTGGGTATACCATTGCCAGCCAGTGGGGCATTGGGACATGCGTCAAGCCCAGATTCAGACTTGACAGGGGTTACGGGCGCCGACGAGCTGGCTCGCTTTAATGCCTCGCCAGATCTTTTGCGACCTTTGCGGCTTTGGTCGATAAGATGCCCGTTGGACCCGCAGGCAAAGCATAACTACAAGTTTGTGCAGGACGCAGCAGGCAACACAGGCATGGGAAGCGCAAAAAGATGAGTGCAAGCCACAAGACTGCTTGGCACGACACCCAGAAAAAAACGACGCGTACATCTAAAGGGCATTCATGATCGCTGGCAACAGCTAAACCAAGACGATGCGAGTAACGCTCTTGATCCGCCGATGTCCACTTGTCGACCAAATTCAGATGCAAAAAGTCTGATACAGCACGCGTATCGCAACCAGAAACACCAGACATGATAGCAGTGGCGCATGACCAAAAAGTGGGTCAGGTGAGGCCGAGCAAGACAAAGAGAAGCACAGAAGAGGGAGATTTTGTTGACAATCAAAGATCGAGGGAATGTGGTGGAGAATAATGTAAAATAAACAGCGTTTACCTTCTTGCTCGTCAATATCCATGGCTTCGTCTTCATGGGCACGAGCAGCCGCCGTGGCTTTGGCGGCTTTGAGAGTGGCCGCCTTTGCGATTCGCGATGCCGATGCCTGCAGCTGCGCCAAGGTTTTTTGATCAAGGCGCACCGGCTCCCAGCGATTGCTGGCAAACCCTCCTGCAAATTCATATTCGACGCCACGTGGCGCCAAGGGAAGGATGCGTGTGTCAGGGCGTTGTCCAGCTTGACGAGGCAAGCATCAGTCGGACAATCGAAGATCCGACCACGTCAACACAACATCCACGCTAGCGGCCTTACCATCCTCCATAATCAAACCCATCGTGGCTGGGGTGGGAAACGGGTGGCCATTGGCAAGGCGAAATATTCCCTCAGCGTCGAGTCGGCCCATGACTCCACGAAAGCGAATGGTGGAGCGCACCGACAGAACATCTGCCGACAATCGTACCAACAAGGCGACATGAGGTTCTCAACGGGGGAACGAAACAACAACCCCCTCCAACTTTGAGCTTCACAAGCCTGAAGGACCGCAAGGGGATGCACTCCAAATGAATGACAAGGCAGCATTTGGGAGAATGAAGCCGTCTTACGTCGAGCAAAAAGATCGCGCACGGTGAGATTGAAGGCCTCGGTTTCTTGAGCTGCAGAATTGTTGTTAGGGAAGGAGGCTTGATAGGCATCAGCTGCCGCCATGAGATCAGCCAGCTTTTCTTTGGGCGTTGAAGTTGGACACGTCGGTGCATCAGCGGCGGCCAAGGGCGAGCCACTGCCGACCGTCGGTGTTGTGGCCGGTGCGCGTTTTGGAGTTTTCTTTGTCGACTTGGCCGTCTTGTTCTGGTTCAGGCTTGGCGTGCGAACTGGAGTGTTTTTCACCTTTTTGCTCGGCTGCGTGGCGCTGGGTGCTTGTGTGGGGGGTGTCTTGGCGGTTGACACGGGCAGGAGCTGGGCCTTGAGCAGGTCGACAGCCCCCTTGATATCGAGGCCGTGATCAGCGCGAATTGTGTCAACGATTTTCTACGAGGAGTCAATGGGGCAGGAGCAGCGACGAATCAGGACAAGGCGTCATCAGGTTGTGGAGGACGACGATGCGAAACCGGCGATGGAACAGTGGTGATGTTGCTTACTTGATCGGCTTCCTGGGCAAGGCGGAAACTGGGATGTTTGTTCAAATAGCTGGCCAAGGTTCGCCAGCAGGGATTATGGCTAGCCCGAAGCGGGGGCTTGCCTGCGTGAGGGGCGCGCAAAAGGAGGAATAAGAAGCAGCTGGGGCATCAACGTGCTGGTAGCATCGAGACGGGCAAGGTCTAAACACGGAGCACGGGGTTAAATGCCATGAGACACACCGGTGTTGCCATCAACCACGAGGACGCGTGCGTTGATATTTGGAATCAGCTCGGTGAGGGCAGCCACGACCACATGGTCGATTGCGGGTGTGGGTGAGGCTGTTCCGCCGGCAGCGGTGGGGGAGACGGTTGCATCCGGCCCGGTGGCGCTGGGCACGCGAGTGGCTGGTGTAGCAGGAGCGGGAAGGGGGGCGGGCTTGGCTGCACCACCAAAGACCACGACCTGGGGCAGCTCGTCCTCTGAGGCAAGGCAGCGTGGGTGGGGGAGTTTGTGAGTGCAAAAACGACGAGTCTGGGGTCTGCAGCAAACGGGGCCAATGTGCAAGAGTGTTGCCGCCGCTTTTTCACAAACCAGGGACAAAAGCTGCAGCGGCGCGACGGACGACGTTGGTTAATGTTCGGCTGTCCTTATAAATGAGACTCCGAGAAGAATTGAAGACCTGTCGTGTCATGGAATAAAAGAGTAGAGGGGGGGTTGGCGGGAAGTGAACAAGGCGAGCAAACTGGTCGCGTTGTGGTTGGGTAGAGGTGCTGTGCTTGGACTGGTATGTGGTGAGCAGACCTGGGTATTGTAAAACAGGCGCTGAAAGTCTTCGACAAGTGCGGCCACCGAGGGGTATTCCTTCCGGCTAGCTTTTTTGCGAATCGTATCGATATCTATTGCCCCAAGGAGAATCAAGAACGCGTTTAGTGTTGAGAGTGCTTTATCAATGAGCCATCAAGATTGATTGATGGCGATGGGGGAGGCGAGACGCAGGGCAGGGCACGAAGCGAACACACCGATGGGATCCTTGATGGTTTGGTAATACTCTGGCAGCTGTGATCGAGTAGGCAGGCGTTCAAATGGCGGGGCGAGCTGGAGAGGGAGAGGAAAGGCCAAACATGGCGGAGGCAAATGAATGGAGGAAAAACCGAGGCAGCCATGTAGTCATCAAACAAGAACAATGCAACTCGATGAGCAGGAGGACGCACAGGACGTTGTTTAGTCTTGGCCTCGGCTACGGCGGTGAGGATGGCAGCGGTGGCTTCGGCGATGATCTTGGCATCATCGGCTTTCTTAGCCAGGCGGGCACTTCTGATTGAGGTTGTGCGCGTGTTCGCATTGCCTTTGGGATTGGGTGCCATGGCGGGAGCTGCGGCTTTGATGGAGGAGAGCGAGACGCCCGCCCGAGGGCCGGCGGGCTGGCTGGCAGCCCGGCCAGCTGCCCGAGCGCGAGGCTTCAGGAAGGCAAAGTGAGCTTTGGGCAATGTTACTCGCGATCAAAAAAGAGGCAACTTGGCGACCCTGCACCACGCCAATCCAGGGCTGGAGGGCCGAAGAAGCGTATCACAAAGTCGGTCGGGCGAGCTGAGCGAGCCACGCACGCACGCGCAGGAGCTTCCAAGACGACGAATGACGACACACTTTGTTATTTTTTGGGGGGGGGCGAGTTGAGACACGTCAAATCAACCAATCAGAAGCGGCCAACGAGACCACAATGCATCCAGGCATGTAGCAACGATGAGCTTAAGCACAATGCCAAGGTGGGCACGAGACTGGCGCAGGCCGATAGATCATCAAAGGCAGCCCGATGGCGCGCAGACGCACAGACACACACACACACACGAGAAACGCGTTTCGGCGCTTTTTTTTTTTTTTTTTGTAACG